AGCATCCTTGGCACATGTCTATTGACTTTACCTTTAAGAAGGCAGCATCTGATCAATATGCTTTTTGTATGTGTGGAAGGTCCGGAATGAGATCCTCTCCTGTATCTTGCCATGGTTTTGTATAGTCCAATTCAATCTTACAATTTCCATTCTCTTATTTTATAATTTGACATTAGATGCCTCCTTTGGACCGAAGTTTGCTTCTGTTATACATATGAAAAAGTAAGTGAATAGTGAAAAGGTGGTAGGAAATGTCTACTAAGAAGATTTTGGAACATCTTTTTTGAGACCACATAATGTAGCATATTATTTACATAGAAACATATGTCACTAATTCAAAGTTTCTCAAAATTTATGTCACTAACTGGATTAACATGTTGCTAATTGAATTAATCAGGGTTTGTGAAGGGCGTGGTTGTATAAAAGAAGAAATCCAACCATTCAGCTTAAGAAGAGGGAGTCATTAGGATGAGTGACTTAGTATTACACAAGGTCAGGAAATAAAGTACAGCTGGGGACTGGAAAGGGAAAGAGAAAGGGGAATCATGTTACTTATTTCTGGATTTGAGTGGTCTCTTTCATCTTCATTTATTTTTCCCCTTTTTTTTACTAACTTTCCCTGCTTGCATGTCAACCAACAAGAAGTCCTGGTGCCAGTATTATAACCCTTCCATTCAATTGCCTGCTTTGCCTCACAGTTAATTAACTCAGTAACTCCACGCCCCATGGATATTCTGAGAAGAATGTTTAAATTGGTTTTAGAGTAAGGTGTCTTTAGATGTTGCCAACAGAGTGGAGTCAAGCTATGGCATGGGGAAAGGGGTAGATGGCAAAAGGAATTTCAGAGAAAGGTGATTACCCCAAATGATGTCAACAAAAACTAAAAATTAAGTAATATTGAAGAATTAAATTGATTACTCCATGTTGATAATTTTCTTGATATGTTTATGGCCAGTGTAAATAAATGACATCAGAGCCTTAGAAGTGGCTTAGTTTGACCTAATTAATGTATATTCAGTTGAAGATGACAGGATTCAGAGAAAGTGTAAGGGCTATATTGCATTTTTATACTCTAATATTTTTGGATAATTTTATAGAATTTTAATACTTGCTCTTAGAAGATCTTTAAAAGAGGCTGAATACCTTGGCATTCTTCCAAGGCAGGAAGAAGACCAGATCTGATGAGAATCTAGGGCTATGATATTTTTAGCAATTGGTACAGAATTACTATAGTAATTCTGTTACTATAAATCTGAGGAATATAAATACTTAAATAAAATGCCAATCAATACGACTGACATAATTTAGTTTTCAAAAGAATTTCTGATGACTTTATGTCTTGCTAATTTAAGTGTAAAGAAAAAACTATTATGTTTGTAATGAATTCATTCATAACACAGATATGCATTTAGCTTCCTTTTTTATTTTTAGAAACAACTTTGACAGTACAATACTCATATGTTGACTTAATTATAATGAACTTCATGTTTCTTTTTGCATATGAATTTTTCTCTTGGCTTATTTTTAATTTTATGCTGAAGAAATTATACATATATTTAAATAAAAGTTGTTTATGGATGTATGACTTTAAAATAAATTGCAATTTGAAATAGCCTTTGTAGCCCTGGCTAGTGTGGCTCAGTTGGTTGGGTGTCGTCCAGTACACCAAAGGATTGTTGGTTTGATTCCTGGTCAGGGCACAGGCCAGGTTGCAGGCTTGATCCCCAGTGGGGGTACTGCAGGAGGCAGCTGGTTCATGTTTCACTTTCATATTGATGTTTCTCCCATCCCTTTCTCTAAAAGTCAATAATAAGTAAATAAATAGTCTTTGTAGCTATTTCTCACACTATCTCCATTTCCTAAAGCAGTTTTTGCAAAATTTAATTGATTTGCCTATTAGTTTTCCACTCTTCCCTTTAAATATTGCTGTTCTAAGTAGTTGCCAAAGCAGCAATTTTGAATTGCTAGACAGATCCCAATTTTTATCATCTCTTTGCAAGAAATTGAAACTGCCTTTCTCTCTTTCTTTTGNAAAGCAGCAATTTTGAATTGCTAGACAGATCCCAATTTTTATCATCTCTTTGCAAGAAATTGAAGCTGCCTTTCTCTCTTTCTTTTGTGGCATGTCAATATTTAAAAACTAAAAACTTACCTATTTTCATTATTTGGATTCTATGTATGTCATTTTTTTAAAGACATTTTTATCGATTTTTTTAGAGACAGGAAGGGAGGGGGAGAGAGAGAGAAATATCAGTGTGAGAGCAAACATCAAGCAGCTGCCTCCTGCACACCCCTAGGGGGCATGGAGCCCACAACCCAGTCATGTGCTCTGACTGGGCATCGAACACTGCAAACTTTTTGGTGTACAGAACAACGGTGAACCAACTGAGCCACCATGGTCAGGGCTATGTATGTCATTTTTGATGCAATTTAGATGTTTAGCATATTTAGGTTGCTAGATTTAGCAAATGAAAAATAGAATGCCCAGTTAAAGTTGAATTTCAGATAAACAAGGAATACTCTTTAAAGTATGTCGAGAATGTTTAAGCTGACAAAAATATTTCTTGTCTATCTGAATTCAATTTAACTCGGTGTCCTGTATTTTACCTGGTTACTCTAAAACATTTTACCATATTTGGTAGAATTTATGGAAACATAGCATTCTTTTTAGATCCAATCTCCTTTTTTATATAATCTCCTTTATGTGCCATTGTTAGATTACACAATGAGAAAACAGTGAATTCAGTTTTATATAATATATATATATATATATTTTTTTTCATACAGTGAAGTTGTCTTCATGGGTAAGATATCAGATACTATGTCTGCATATAATACATTAAAGTTACATGAAAAAAATTCAACAACCTAACAAGTAGCCACAATCCTGGTGACACTTGTCTCCAGTTTAACATTTTATCTCAGAATTTACTTTAAAACCTCCCCTACAGCTTTTAGGCTTCCTCCCTTGATTAGAGTTGGTTGGGGATGAGCTTGCTTTCAATGACAAGGAAGGGCAGGTTAAAATTAGTTTTCTGGCTTTATATTAGTCATCAGTAATATGCAGCAGTATTTCTCAACCTATATTCCTTGGACTTGAACCACTAAAGCTATTAATGGACGCCCCTGCGGGGAGGGGTGGTCAAAGGAAATTGGGAAATTCTGGGTTAAAGGCCCATCTCTACTGTGGAACTTCTCTTAAGCTTCAGGATGCTCCTTTTCTCTGGGCATCTGGAAGAGGGGCCCACAGTAAACTGCTTTTCCGCCTTTTTTTTGGCCTATAGACCTTTTTTTGTGTGTGACACACCAAGTACATTTTGTAAGACATTAGAGTTCTAAGAAACACCATTTGGGAATTCTGAAGAAGGTTCCAACTCATTTTCACCTGATTTCCAGACCACAGGTTTTTGAGGACTAGAGGACTGTGATCGGCATCAGAAGCCAGTATCCCACAGTCTCAGCCAGGCTGCATCAACCAGGACAGCCTTCAAATGGCCAACTCTGACCATTGGGGGGTTAATTTAAATAGAATAAACTCAATGAGGGAATAGGAAATAGGGAAGGCATAGGGATTGGAGAAAATGATAATTGTAAATAACTTTTATTGAACACTTACTATGTATGGTACTGGAAATCACACAAGGTGCCTTACCTAGTTTGTCTATATGATTTTCATAATATCCTCACAATAAAAGTGTTGTACCCATTTATACATGAAGAAACTGAGGCTCAGAAAAGTTTAGTGATTTATTGTCACGCACAATTAAGTTGTCACAGCTGGAATTTGGTACAGGATTTTTAGGCTTTAAACACATATTCTTTCCCTACTTTTAGGAATCCACTAAAAGTCCATTTCTTTTGGCTTCTTGTATCCCTAGAACTATCCATACTACTACTTCCATTTTGAGAATTACCACTCTAATACTATCTCTAATCTAATCAGCAATGATTCTTTATTAATCATCTGGACAGCTACCATTTTTGGGTAGTTTACAAAATCTGCTTCTTTTTGTGATTCATTTAGGATGTTTCTCAAATGGCAGATCCATAACCACTCACAGGGCTAAACAAAGGTTCCTCAGGTAGTGAAATGCCAGCTGTTCTCAATTTGCTGCCTGTCATTTTGAAATCACCTGAGTACATAAAAAATATTGATGCCTGCGTTCAGCCCCAGAAATCCTGATTCAATGGATCTGGGCTGTGGCATGGGCAATGGGATTTTCAAACACCACCTGGGTGAGTTTAACATGCAGCCAGGCTGAAGGCCACTGTTCTTAGGGGTAAAGATGAACATGTAAGTATTTCCATAAAGAAACAAAGGAAATGTGTTAACGATACTTTTTATTTAACAAACTCAAAATTTTTAAAAATAGCTGCTGAGTCCAAGAATTTTTTCAGATGCAACATGAGTGGGTTGAGACTTGGTATCTTTTCCTATTTAAATGATCTTTGTATTCAGTTGGGGTACTGTGATGTAAAATGTGTACTTATTTCATTAGTTAGGTTACTGAGTCACTCCTATTTAATCTGTGAAACTCAAAATCCTCCACAAACCATGTGGTCTCACATCACATCTCAGTGTAGATTTAATTACTGTACTAAGAAAATCACATTAACATAAACAGCATGAAATACCCTGGTGGCAATGTCTTAAATCTGTTTACTAATACACTTTTTATATCTCATGCTTGTCTCTCTCATATTTACACTGCCTGAAAGTCTCCTAAAGTGATCTAAAGCAAACTATCACTTTCTCGATGTAACTAAAGCATTTTTCAAACCATTCTTCCATTTTGGATATTAATTTTTTTTTTCTTCATTTACAAAACTGATGAAAAAGACTTTATTATATTTGTTTTGGTAGCAATACAGTGTATATAACTTTTTAAAATTTATTAATTTTAGAAGGGGGAGTAAGAGAGAGAGAGAGACAGACAGAGAGAGGGAGAGAGAGAAAAAGAGAGAAACATCAATATGCTGTTCCACTTATTTATGCATTCACTGGTTGATTCTTGTATGTGCCCTGACTGGGGATCGAACCTGCCACTTGGTGTATAGGG